AAACTAACTATTGTTATTTCTTATAATTACTGTTCATATTGAAGATCGCTTTGCGAAAGGTCATTCTCTACACGATTTCTATTTCGAAAAATCCTTGGTACCCCTACACTCATCATATCTAAAGCCCTCTTCAACTACTCTTTGGAACAAGTGCACATCGAAAGCTTTTGCGTAACATCCTACATATAACAATGTATGTTCCAAAAGAAACGATTTCAATATGACGCTCTGGTTATAAAAAGTATAGAGGAAAACTGCAATTCAGTCATTACTGCGCTTATGAGGTGATTACACATCATACCTCAAGATCCAAATTTGCACTCAAGCGCATGTCTGCTTTACCAACGATATATGATGGCAATCAAATAAGGGGCACAACAAAATCGCCGTATCTATAGTGTTAAAATCTTAAAAGATAGGATATTCTAAAAGAAGAATACTACTTTCAGAAGTACATCATGGTTTGAGGATGACACCAGAGTAATGCACGGATTCATAACCCTACGACCAAATTCATTCCCTCCAGAAATTGCTATATTGAGTACAAGTAATGAAGGTAAGAAAAACATTACTTTAAACCTTCGCATATCTCTGTTTACCAAATTACAGGATTGAACATGATCGAACTCGGAACACTGAAGCATCACGTACTAACATTAAACGTGTCTTATATGCAAGTTCATCCAACTATGGACAGCACAATTCTACCATTAGGGGTATGTTGGGAGGATAAATAAAACAAAATTCCATTCTTTGAGCGAAATCTTCTAAAACTGCCAATCCTTCACTAATTGTAGGCTACTCGACGATTTCGAAGAGTGGGCCAGCTGTTGGAAATGACTGTAGCAAAGCTATTTCCGAATAACAAGGTAAGCATCTAAACCCACAATTAATACCCACTAATCTATCTTTATAGGTTTCACAGTTCAAAAAGATGTTTAAGAAGTTAACAGATTATCCAAGTTAAGATGGTGCTTATAGATTAAAATTTTCTATAGACTTCTTAGACAGGTTAGAAAGTATTGTATGTACACAATAAGAGTATATTTTAAATTATTTGTCCCATGTGGCCAAGCACGATGTCATACCGCATCTATTGTTGTGATTCTCTTAATCATACTCGTTTCAAGAATGTATGTATGTGCTTTTGATCTTGAAAAAAAATTGGGAGTCCTCTCCTACTTATGCGTTACTGTACATCTTTCATATAAATCCCTAATAAATCTTATCAAATACGATCA